TTACGTATATGTGGTATGTTTTTGTATTCGAAAGGTACATATATAAGTATACGAAGTTTAATGATTACGCAAAGGCATAGTTACGGCCTATTAACATGTGAAATTTCCATTCCAAGCCCTATTAGCATGTAATTAGACCACAAAGGCCCAATAACATGTAAGAGGGTAATTTAGGCCCAATAGGCATGTAAATGGGCCACAAAATCCCAATAAACATGTAATCCATAATTTAGGCCCAAATTAACATGTAAGTGGGTCGCAAGACCCAATAAACACGTCATGGAAAACATTGGGCTCAATATACACTTAATTGGGCCCTTAGGGCCCAATGGCCAAGTAACGTGAATATTAGGCCCAATAAATAGTTATCGACGTATTCTGTTCAAGGTTTTTCAAATATTTGGTAATCAAGGTTTTTCAAATATTGTTGAACTCTATGGTGACTTGGTAAGGCATGTGGAAGATATGGTGGATAACCCTATTGACCCATGTTCAAATCTTGGCACTACTCAGTCCTTGTGGCCATGGAGGTTCGCCTGCAGTGACTCCAGGGCATGAGGCAAAGCCCCATGTTTGCAGCGGGGGATTAGTCGGTGCGCGAAAGCTGGCCCGAAAACCCTCATTAGGGAAGTTCCCTTTCCAATATATATATATATATATATATATATAATTCAAATCGACACCATTAACTAGATCAACTTCCAGTCCCTTGCTTGTAGGATAATCAATCAATTATGCGATGTTATGCTTGAAAAACATGTGTAATTGATGAGTTTTTTGTTATAATTAAGAGTGGGAGATAGAAATGCATGATAAGATTGATGGAAGAAGAATCTAACAACAATGAACAAATCTTGCAAAAGGCAGTTAATTTAATTCATTTTTTTAAACATAAAAAATAAATGAGTAGAAATTGATGAGAGAGCATATTAATCTATTATTATTGCAGGATATTGGTATGATGGAAGAAGAATTGGAAACAAAGAGTGAACTTATCAAGAAACAGGTTAGATGGATCCAAGACTGGAGAAAGGAGTTAAAAGACCAATTAGAGAAGCACAATACTGAATTAGAGATGGTTTAGAATTTAGATGTAAAACTAAAATGTATGATGTATCTACTTGTTTAAAATTTAAATTCATTCTTTTTGATTAATTTGCATCATTATGTATGTTGTATGGATCAAAGTGTTTGTTAATTACCAAAACACATTAAAGAAGAACAACAAAATTGTAGCTGTGAACTTAAATTTTAAGGTTTATGTAAAAAAAACTTGTACGATACACAATTATACAATGGTATTGCATAACATATCATTATCTATGAAATCATTGCTCTCATTAAGCAATGGGAAGTCCTCTATGATCACAAAATAAAGCAATTGCGTAATGATCTTAGAACTAAATTCAGAAACTCTTCTCTGGAAGATTTTTGCTCTATCTCAGGAATCTCTCATAATTTTTTGGCTGTTAGAACTCCCCAACAAAATGGTATTGCAGAAAGAAGAAACCGAACTCTCATTGAAGCTGGAAGAACTATGGTTGTTGAAGCTAGTCTTTCATCGTCATTTTGGGCTGAAGTTGTCAATACAACGTGTTATACCCAAAACCGGTCTATTATTGTTAAATGTCATGGGAAAACCGCTTATGAGCTACCGAAAGGAAGAAAACCAGATATCTCTTATTTTCATGTGTTTGGATGTGTTTGTTAGATCTTGAATCAAAGAGATCAATATTCAAAGTTTGAGGCTAAAGCTGATGAAGAAGTGTTCCTTGGATACTCTAGTGTATCCAAGGTTTTCAAAGTATTTAATCTTTCAAGGCAAATTGTTAAAGAAACAATTCATGTTACCTTTGATGAGGACTCATTCATTCATGATCGAGTTCATCACCCATCGTCAATTCTAAATAAACTTACTTATAGTCCTCCAGACACCATTCCCGAGCTCTTGAAAAATGACGTTGATCCCATTGTTCCCAATGTTGATCAATTAATCAGCTCTCAGCCTATCTCTAAAGATCAGCCTGTTGTCTATGAAGAAGCTGATTCATCAAATCAAGAAGCTTCTTCCCATAGCAATGCAAATGAAATCTCTAATCCTAGAATCCTTCGAGATCATCCTGAATCTTAAATCATTGGTGTGCGAAAGAATTTTACCGCACTTTTTGTGTTCAATATTCGCCTATATCTGACTAATAATGTGATTGTAGATGAATTGCAGTTCTAAGTTCTTTTGCTTCATTCTTCTTATGAAAATTGTGATCATTTGAGATATCTTGGAGATTACTTCTACGGATTATGAAACTAAACTTACATATTGTCATTGGAAATTTAAAAATTTGGTAATCAAGGTTTTTTCAAATATTGTTGAACTCTATAATCAAATCGACACCATTAACCAGATCAACTTTCAGTCCCTTGCTTGTAGGATAATCAATCAATCATGCGATGTTATGCTTGAAAAACATGTTATGTAATTGATGAGTTTTTTTTTGTTATAATTAAGAGTGGGAGATAGAAATGGCATGTAACATGTTGTACCTTGTTTTTTTAAATAAGAGAAAAAACAATCGTCAAAAGTTTTTTAAATAAGAGAAAACATTATAAATGGTCCATGTGGTAGTGAAATGACGAAAATACCCTTCAGTTAACGGACAAAACTTAACGGAGTTAGCAATAAGGACCAATCGTCAAAAGTTTTGAAAACACATGGACCATCTATGATGTTTTTAAACTACGGGGACTAAACTTTAGATCTGGTGAAACCATGGAGACCGTTTATGATGTTTTTTCAAATAAATAAAAACATTAGAAAAAGCATAACTAACTAAAATAGAAAAAATAGAAAACAAAAGGTAAAAAAGGTAAAAAAAATCAAATTGTTGAAAAATAAAGTTAAAAATGAAAATAAATAATATATATATATATATATATATATATATATATATATATATATATATATATATATCTCCCTAACTAATAAACGAAAGTAAATTGCCACGTGGCCCTTCAAAAACACTAATTTCATCCAATGTTAAATACCGTTTTTGCCCCTCTTTGATTTCACATTCTATAATGTCCAGGTCAAAATAAATCAACATTTAATATCCGATTTTTATGATATTTATGGTATATGATCTCTATTTAAATATTTAAATTTCAAAATAAATCAACATTTAATATGCGATTTTTATGGTATTTATGGTATATGATCTCTATTTAAATTTAATTTGATACATTTCAAATAAATACCCGATTCAGTCCTCCAATTTTAAATAATCAATACAAAAAGTTTTAAACAAACTTAACTC